GGAACCACTCCCTGTACAGCATGCTCTGTCCACGCTATCGACGTACTACCTAATTTTTACCTTATCTTTAGGATCCCAATTTATCTTGTCCATTGTAAATGGTTCCCGGATTGTTGTCTCTTATCTTAGCTAGCACAAAGATTCTGTTTCCACACTGATGATCCATTTACCTCCCTACTTCTGTCTCCCAAGAAATGAAGCCTCAACCATGTCCAATTGCTTTTGTCAAGCCAGGCCAACACGAAGGAAGCATAGTTATTAAGGAAAGAAAAAAAATATTAAATCATCTAGTCATTTCTCTTGCCCATGAAGAACATGATAGGAAACAAGTTATGTGAGCTAAAAATGTATCATGTCAAGTTTTATAAGCATGGGGGGGGGAACCGTAAGAGAGAATATACTGAGTCTTAACAAACCAGAAATGAATTGATGAAAACTGGGAAGAGGGTTTTACAGTCCCCAACGGTTGCATTATTACAAAACAAATGATAATAAACACACAAGAAGAGAATATTAGTGGGTATAGCTCAGTCCCTTGGAAAATAGGACCTGATCATGTGGGACACTGAGGCTACGTCTACACTGGCCCCTCTTCCGGAAGGGGCATGTAAATTTCACGAGTCGTCGTAGGGAAATCCGCGGGGGATTTAAATATCCATTGCTGCCTCTTATTCAAAGTAGGAATAAGAGCCTCCGGAAAAGGGCGCTTTTTCCGGAGGATCGGGGCCAGTCTAGACGCTCTTTTCCGGCTTTTTTAAAAGCCGGAAAAAAGCGGCGGACATTTTTATTTAAATGCCGCGGGGGATATTGAAATCCCCCGCGGATTTCCCTACGACGACTCGTGAAATTTACATGCCCCTTCCGGAAGAGGGGCCAGTGTAGACGTAGCCTGAGTGTATGTCTACACTACAATGAAGATTGAAGCTGCCACTATTGATCTTCTAGGACTTGACTTAGCGGGTCTAGTGAGGATACGCTAATTCGTGGACAGTGCCAAAAGTCGAATTAAGGTACTTCAACTTCAGCTACGTAATTAACGTAGCTGAAGTTGTGTGTGTTAATTCAACCTTATCCTGTAGTGTAGACATACCCTGAGTGCCCTGGGAAACTCCAAACCTTAAAGCAGTAGTTTCCAACCAGCAATCCGTGTACCCCTGAGGGTCTGCAGACTATGTCTAAGAGTTCCAAACAAGTCTGCATCTCCATTTGAAATTTTGTAGGGAGTCTGCAAATGAAAAGAGGCTGAAAATGACTTCCTTAAAGCATCAAGGCCAAAGCAATACAGTATTGTATGTTGTCAATGTACAGATTGTTATTGCATGAATAATCATCTGATTTATATTAAAGAGGACAGGACAATAGGCCCCTTTGTTTCAGGAAGACACTTTCTCTTGAAGATTCACAGCCCATAGAATTAAGTCATCATTCCCATTCAGCATAAACTAAGGACAATATCTGTATTCAGTAAATACTCTTGCTTACTCATGTGAGGAATACCAATGAAGTCAATGGGTACTAATATGTAGGAACTACAATAAACAGTTATTTGCCATTTGAATAACAAGAAATAAGTGTTGACAATTTCATGTTTGAGCAAACATTTAATTTTTAAGGTGAACATACCTCTTCTAGAAATTTCAGTTTTTGAAAATATTGTAGTACTTCACAGTTATGAATGCCAGAGTTATGTACTGATCAGACAATCACACACCTCATGTGGAAATGTAAATATGCAAACAGGCCAGCAAAGAAAAGAGGGGTGGGCAAATATTGTACTGTGTTAAACATAAACTGTGAAAAAGGGAAAATTTTAAAAAAGATTGACAAGGTAAGGAAAGTATTTCTGTGCTTGTTTAATTTAAACTAAGATGGTTAAACCAGCACTTACCTTTTGCACAGTAAAGTTTCAACACTGTTTTAACTGACTGTTCAGCTGTAAAATTTTGAAGGAACAACCATAAAGTTTTGTTCAGTGTTACAACTTCCATTCTTCATAGCTGTGTCTACATTGGTGCGACCTTGCGCAAAAGCAAATGCTTTTGCGCAAAAACTTGCTGCCTGTCTACACTGGCCCCGAGTTCTTGTGCAAGTACACTGACATTCTAATGTATGAAATCAGTGCTTCTTGCGCAAGAACTCTGATGCTCCCACTCAAGAATAAGCCCTCATGCACAACTGTACTTGCCCAAGAGGCCAGTGTAGACAGGCAACATGAATTTCTTGTGCAAGAAAGTCTTATGGTTAAAATGGCCATCAGAGCTTTCTTGCGCAAGAGAGTGTCTACACTGGCATGGATGCTCTTGCGCAAAAGCACATCTCTTGCGCAAAAGCACATGCCAGTGTAGACACTCTCTTCTGAAAGAGTTTTTGCACAAGAACTCTTCCGCAAAAGAGTTCTTGTGCAAGATCATGCCATGTAGACGTAGCTTTAAGATGTCTATAACTCAGAGGTTCTCCTGTCTAGGGATGTTAGATATTGGGTAACTGAGTAGTCATGTAAACACAACTATTTGATAGTCCTTGAGGGCGGGGGCGGCAGCCAGTGCGCTCTGCCCAACTCCTGGGGATCCCCTTGCTACCTCATGCTGCTGCCTCTATATCAGCAACTGGTGCAAGCCTGTCTGTGGGAGGAGCCAGTTTAAAAACCAGCCCCCTGCTCAGACTGGCTGCCTGCTGCCCTGCGCTGTTGCCTCTGATACAGAGAAGGATGGCAGCAGCCCCTATCAGAGGTGAGGTGGGGAGGATGCCTTGACGCAGCCTCTACCTGTGGTGGGCCCAGGCCATGGACAGAGGTTGCTTCGTGGTAGCCTCCCCACCTTCACCCCACCCCATTGCTGCCTCTGATACAGGCAGCAGAGTAGAAGGAGGACAGGCGGCACCACGGAGCCGGTGCTGAGGGCAGCTAGCTTTTAAGCCGGCTCCCCCCAGCACTGTCTCCTGCTTCCTCCCTTGCCACCTACAGAGGCAGCAAGAGGAAAAGGAAATGTGAATAGTCAATAAGATAAGCCTTGGCTTATCAGTTAATCACATAGTTGACTACTTGTTAACATCCCTACTTTACAGTGTCAGTTCTGAGAACTTTTACTTGAAGAAAGCTTTTGACTTGAGAATTTAAGGCTTGGCAACATCTAAATCAAGACTAAAGTGCTCAGTAATTTCCACTACAGCAGTGTTTCTCCATCAGTGGTATGAGTACCATTAGGGATACTAGAGAGAAGTCTGGGCGGGGAGGTACATCAACACAAGTGACTTTTGGAGAAAACTGAATTTTTGTTTTAAGTTTTTATAGTGTTTTATTATTTTTGTACTTTTTACACCCAAAAATTTAATCGCCCACCCAGTTCTGATTAAGTTGTATAAACTAATGTGTTGCAATGGTAGAAAAAATTCTGTGTGTCTGAAAACTGTAGGTACTGAGGGTACTTGTAATTTTTTGTTTCAAAAAAGGAGTGCTTTGTAAAAAAAAAAAAAAAAAAGGTTGAAAAACACTGCTCTAGAGTACAATCAATGAAAAAACCCTCCAACAACTTGGTGTGTACTCTCTTCTTAGCTACATTTTTTTTTAATCAGACCCTTTACAATTCTGTAGTTTGTTTCAGTGGTAGTTAATCCTGTTGGGGATTTGCAGGTTATTTCATTTTGGGGATTTTTTAAATCTAGTTGCCAGAGTCTCCAAACAATGGATCGTTTTATAAACGAGGGTGCTAGTCCTGCAATCCTTACCGATCCCACAGGAGCTTTACATGAATGAGGTTTGCAGAAAGGAGTTCTAGGGTTCCCTGTAGCATAAATCCAAGTTGCATATATTTTATTTTTTGCTCAGAATTACATGTATTTGAAGTTGAGCTTTTATCTGATTCATTCTGTTAACCACAACACCACTCTCTTGGGAGCTCTTACCTGTTTGACAGAACAATTTATAACCAGGGAAGTGCCGCGCATTTTTTTGACATTAGCAAAACTGCACTTGCTACAGCGAAAAGAACCAAACAAGAAGCCGCATGTAAAACTATGGAGAGCAATGAAGTCAAATCACAACAGGATCCATCACTCCCAGGCGACAGACTGTAAAGTCCTTAGAACAAACCCCATCACTCTTCGAGGGGCGTACACAAGCCAGCCACGCACACAAACCCGGACAGCCCAGGCAGGGGGAAAGGGCTGGGGGACCAGGAAGGAGTTCAGTCTAATTCCGATTTTTCCTGCCAGTCCAGTTTACCCAGCCACTCCCCCTCTGCTTCATCTCCCCAAACACCCTCCCGATCCCCCCAGGCACCCCGCACGCTGCTCCGCCCCCACCACAGCTCTGTGCCTCCACCTCCCCCACCCCTGC